TGTAAATGAAGGGTGCACACTATTGCTGAAAAACACAATCACTACTTAGCAGTCGGATGTCCGTATGCACAAAGGCACAGATCCCTAAACAAGGCCATATCTGCAGATTAAACTTTTTTTTTAATTTGAACTAGCACCTCATGACTACACCACGTTATGTACGAGAAGCTGCAAAAAACACAGGCGCAAGTGGAATGTACAAAACATGGTGACATTCATTTTTAAGTAAATATAATGGGCGATATATTGCGTCACCAAAAATTATTGAGGTCATGTACATATATTGCGCGATAAGTCGATATATTGATTATTGCGGCAGGCCTATGGCACAAACTAACAGTGAAAATACTTCTAAAGCATTTGTTCATCTTAATTTCAAAATTGATGGTAACACTTTAGAGACCAGTTCTCACTATTAACTAGTTGCTTATTAGCATGCATTATTAGTACTTACAAAACACATTAATACTTCATTCTGCATGACCATATTTTTGATCTCTTAAACTTAACAACTACCTTACTAACTAGATTAGGAGTTCATTGAGGCAAAAGTCATAGTTAATTGTGAGAATTGGTCCCCAAACTAAACTATCTGTTCATATTATTGAATGGTCTTGAGCTAATGTGAACTAACAATAAACAGTTGTATTTTTATTAACTAACAATAGCAAAGATTAATAAATACTGAAGCAGAGGTATTGCTTATTAGTTAATGTTAGTTAATGCATTAAGTAATGGGTCTTTATTCTGAAGTCTATTTTTTTTTTGTTTTTTTGTTTTTTTAGAAATTTTCGGAGCATTACAGGGTTTCAGGTTTTATTTTTAACAATAGCAAAGATTAATAAATACTGAAGCAGAGGTATTGCTTATTAGTTAATGTTAGTTAATGCATTAAGTAATGGGTCTTTATTCTGAAGTCTATTTTTTTGTTTGTTTTTGTTTTTTTAGAAATTTTCGGAGCATTACAGGGTTTCAGGTTTTATTTATTTATTTTTTTATGGTAATGGTTTGATAATTGTGTTTCCTGTAGCTTCATATGGCAGAACACCCCGCTGGTCATCTGGTGTTGAAATGGTTGATTGAGCAGGATGTTAAGATGGAGGCGGCAGAGAGAGAAGGCAAGTACAAAATGTCAAACCCTGACACACTCGCGTCATGGGTCACAGCTTTGAGTTTAAAAGCTTGATGGGAATTTTGAGAATACTTTTGGATTTCCTTTTCCATTCTTAGAAGTCATTTTCTTTATGTAAACTTGCTAATAAAAACCAATTGAACAGTTTTCCAATGCGAACAAATGTTTTACTGGCCTGTCCTGACTTATTTTATTCCCCAGAGCGTTTTTCCAGGATTCTTCTGGAGAAGGTGGGGTTGGAGAACCTCAAGACGTGGGCTTCAGTCAACCGTGGTGCCATTGTTCTTTGTTGGTAAGTTTATGACCTCCACAAATGAATGGATCTAAAAATAACAAAATACACTCCCTTTTATGCACTCTGGTAAGATAGAAACCTTGCTTTTGAATTGGTGGGCGTAAAATAGCACAGCAGCCATTGTTCTGTGAGCGCTGGTTAAATACTGAATACACACAGAAGAACATCCCTGTACAATCATTCATGTTTAAAGCCCCTCCTTTACAAAGCCTCCAAAAGTGCTTATACTATGACATCCCAAGCTCTCTATCGCAGCAAATTTGCTGCTTTTCCATCACGCTGTCTTTTAAACCATGATTATTAGCTGGAGGAATTCCCTACCATGAGCTTTAGGTTAAGCACATCTGCCACAGTCCTGCTTCATTATTCTATGCTGTTGTCTGTATGCTAATAAAGGGCTAAACTGTGGCTCCCAGCTGCCATTGACGCAGGCAAACCCTTGAGTTACATGCCGCAAAGGATTATGGGTTCTTTCCACTCCCCATCTCAGCCTCAGTCTTTGTGCGTGACCTCTTATAATCTCCCTAAGACTTTAAGCAGTGAGAGATGTTTCTTTATATTTTTAGCCTAGACTGTTTGTTTATTCTGATGCCATTTTCCCACCAATCAAATAGAAAATAAATGAACCCCCTGCTGTATGCAGAGTCACGTTTAACGTATGAGTGGATCTGTGAATTGGTTAATTGTATTTGAGGTTTCGGCTGCTTTTTTGGGTTTTCATTGCGTTTCCACAGCCTTCTCCAGAGTGCAGATGAAAGTGTTGCTGAAGAAGTGAAAGTTATGCTGAAATCCATCCTTCCTGAACTACAGAAGATCCAGAACTCGAAAGGAGTTGAGGTTCTGCTTGAAAAACTGGCCTGATCTGCCAAATCAGTTGTTTTGTTAGTTTTTTTTCATTTTTAATTGTGAATTTATATGCTGATGTATGTAAATACAAAACACACAAAAATTGTTTATTTTATTATTATTTTTCTTTTTAATCTCGTGAAACCAATCAAGAACATGTCTATACAGGTTATATTTCACCCCAAAAATCAATGGAAACATTTTCATGAAAATTAAGCAAATTATGCTATAATGTGGACAGAAATGCTATGATGATATTTCTTGCACAACAGTTAATATATGCTGATGAAAAAAATGTCAATTCTGATTTTCACTTCTATTACGAGAAACTTAGGAGGAAATGTGCTTAATTATGAAAATGTAACAACGGACATACGACTCTTTTTATACATTTTGTCTTTTGATTTTTGAGGTGATATACAATCCAGAGATTTCTATACATTAATGCATTAACTAGAAATGTAATGCAGATTCTGAATGAATTACTTTTGAAGAATATTTTATATTAGCTTGTATGTAAATAATAATTATAATAATAGAATAGTAGTAATAGTAGAAATAGTACAATCTTTCTTTTCAAAATAAAGAAAATTTTATTTTGGGTTTCACCCAAAAATAAAAAATATAGAGATAAAATATAAAAATGGTAGTTTTGAATATGGAGGCATGTATGCGTGCTTGAAAATTAATTTTGTAGCCCTGCTCTACTTCCATCTGTCCTTGGGACTTCAATGATCCCCAAGGATTAATCTTTCAAGGATTATCAATGCCTGCATGAGCATGCTTTTCAGATTTAATTACATTCTAGTTGTCTACATTCTTATGGACGTCGCAGTGGCCACCCTTTATTAAATCAACAAGTTTTTGTAATTGTCACACAGCACACCAAGCTATTGTAGTGAGGATGTCAGTTCTGATTTTTTTAAAGCACTGTAAGTTGTTGCCAAATAGCCCTGCCAGTACAGAAGTTAACCTTATAGGAAATCTGTTTGCAATCTGTCCTGCTCAGAGTGCTTCCAGAGGAAGCCAGTTGATGTAAATCATAAATTGGCTTTTCTTGATTGAAACTTACACAAATGCCTATACAAAATTATACATAGATATATAAAAAAAGTATTGAAGCTGAGCTTGTGTTCAGCCAGATATTAAAACCTTCAACTGATTATTTGAAGCAGTGTTTGTCTACCCTGAATTACTTCCTTTTGTTTTAACATTGCCCATAGTGGTAGCAATGGTTCTTTTTAATGACATTGTTTAAAAAAAAAAACTAGATTTTTACTGTGCCATAAAGTAATAATATGAAACAATTGATCGTAGACAATTAAATAGTTGTGCCAAGGCAAGTATTTATTAACGGCATCCTTGTAAGAGCAGCCTAAAAACGAACGTTGGTTCGTTTTAAAAGAAATGGCTTTTGTTTATAGTACAAAGGTTTCCCAATATGCATGTATCCAGCAGCACAAAAGCAAGCAGTGGCTAATTTGTTTGAAGACAGTTACTTAATTGGTCTGGTTGGTTTGGAAAAGAAGACCACCAAGTCCATGAATTAAAAATCAGTCCGTGGATGGAAAGTGTAGGTCAGCACATGGCAACCTAAAAACATTCGGAAACCTTCTTCGCAGCCCTTTTCACAAACCTCACTTTGCCACGATTCTTTAAAGAGGAGGTGTATTTATAGGCTTTCAGCTTTGAATAGTAGTCTGAGAATTTATTGAACAGGATGGAGATTGGCATGCCGTTGAGAATAATTCCAAACGAGATGCACGCAAATGCAAAAATCCTGCCCAGAGGAGTCTCTGGAAACATGTCGCCATAGCCCACAGTGGAGATGCTCACCTGTGGAAAAAATGCATGAGAAATACTTGAGTGTGCCAGTAAAATGGACTAAAGACGCACAATCTTTTAAGATTTAATAAAAAATCAGTCACTGATTCTCATATGCCAAAAATAAACAACATCATTCTAAAGAAGCGCATTATGGGATTACACATTGACGACAGATGCAGTACTCCACTTATCACAGTTGTGAGGAAGCATTTAATAGCATTATAGCAGACAGACACCAGGTACTCCGGTTCTGTCAGTACTTTACAGAAAGAAGAAACTATCATGATATTACAATGATTTTTGGACATGTACCTTAGATATACCATCATAATCATAGAAGTATTTTGGAGTACCATGTATATCCCATAGTATATGGATAATCATTCAGTACCATGGTGTATACTAAAGTATCATTGCATTATCTCCTGATACCATCACGATACCGAAGTACCACCAAAGTACCACTTATGCCAGAAATAAACTTGAAAAAACGTGTACTTACAGCTGCCCACCACCATGCATGTGGAATACTGGTGAAGTTTGTTTGAGGCATATCATGCTCTACGGTATAGACCATGGCAGAGAACGTGAAAATTCCCATTGCAATGAAGAGGAAAAGACAGCCCACTTGTTGGTAGCATTGCCGGAGTGTGAAGCCAAAAGCTCGAAGTCCAGTTGAGTGACGTGCTAGTTTTAGGATACGAAATATCCTCATGAGACGCATGATGCGGAGAACTTGCCCCAATTTACCAACCCGTCCTACAGTCTCAATATCGCTACCATGTTTCCCATAGTCTTCATTCTCAAAACACTCTAAGATCATTTGAAGATATAATGGAAGGATTGCAATCAGGTCCACAGCATTCAGCATGCTCCTTCCAAAGCGTTTGAGATCGGGTGTGGACACAAGCCGGAGCAGATATTCCATGGTAAAAAATGCAATGCAGAAAGTCTCAACATACTCACAGGAGGTCTTCCTGCTCAGCTGGCCGGTGGTCGTCGTATATCGCATTTCCTCTACCGTATTGAGAGTCATAGCCACGAGTGATACCAGAACGAAGAAACTGGATGCCACTGCCATGAGCTTGGCTGTGACCGATGAGAAGGGCTTCTCCATCATGTTCCAAATGAGGAAACGTGTATGACCGAAAGCCATATCCTGAAACAAGTCCTCATGCTCCTCAGTTTCCACCTCTGCCTCGAGTTCCCGTTGTACCTTCAGCTGTTCATTGAGTTCATCTTGCCGTTCCTCGAACGAAATGCGGCAGCAGCGATGGGTGTTCTTGATACGAACACCCCAGTAGTTGATCTCCTCCAAAAAATTGCGTGGGCACAATTCATCTTTGATCCAGAGAACTCCAGTCCTATAGAAGTTGAAGATGTTGTGGAAGATGTCTGGATCCCTGTCAAAGAAAAACTCATTGTTTTGGACAGTGTACTCATCACAGAGATCGAGTTTCCTGTTGTGGTCCGTATACGTTGCAAGTCGGCCAATTCTTGTCTTGGGATATTTTGCTGCTACCCTGTAAGAGATCTGGTAGACCTTGCCTCCTACGTTGATGTTCAGCATGTAGTTCTTAGTCAAAGAGGACAGTTTACTGGGGGTCGACATCAACCTCTCTTCTTCATCGTCTTCATACTCTGCATAGATGTCATATATATCCTTACTTAATTCCTGCATCGAATTCCATGGTTTTACCCAGTTGTGTTGACCAAAAGGAAGCTCAGAATCCTCTGGATCCTTGGGAGCAGGGACTGAGACCCCAAGTTTATAATTGGGAAAAAGGCTTTGCCTCCTGCGTTTAAGCTTGATCATGGTGCCAATGTCCTCTCAGCCTGGCAGATGCACAGGTTACTGGGGGTGTAGAGGCATTAGATGCCTCTAATACCTCTGAGTCAGACCCCTGAGCAACTGCAGGAAGCAGCACCAACTAATGTTGCTGACAGAGAGGATCTGAGTGCTTAAAGGTTTAAATGCTATGATCCTCTTCCAGACTCTCTCCACCAACCCTGATGTATTTCATTGCCGTACATTCACCAATCTCCAATAGAATATGAGGATATTGCACACACTTTCCAACAAAGATATGATGTATTGGAGTTATATGATGATATGGAGTTGATAAAAAGATACAAACTTGATCGTCAAGATGTCAATTATTTTTGTATCTTTTGTAGGAAAGAGATTTATTTACAGGAATTTACTTTTTGAAAGTAAGAAGTTTACTACAAATCAATGCTCTAACTGCAGAAATGATAGTAATTACTTTTTTTTTTTTTGCTGGAAAACTGGAAAAAATGCAGCATAGGATAGTAAGATCTTAAAAAGCACTGTTGTGGTACTAACCCCACCAAACACAATAATGGCCAAAAGTAATTTTTATGACGCTACATTTCACTTAAACCATCAAAATACAAGGAAAAAACACTGACCAGCGTAGCCAAATGCTTTTAATTGAAAATAGCTAAAACGGGTCGCTAAATGTTGCTAGATGACGTCATAATTGCGAGTTCACTGATCTATATAAATAAATATAGATCACTGGGAGAGTCTCGGAATCTAGATAAGGTTTGTCCAAGAAATTGATTTGCTGCTAGGCTTTTGAAAAAAGTTTCAAAAGGGGTGAGGATGTCGCAAAAAAAAAAAATGGCTAAATTGGCAAAACTGGCATTGACTACAGTTATTAATATTTCATTGGTCTTCTCTTGTTTTTGTCTGTGTTCATAATTTCTTTGTATGACAGCATGGGCAGATATTATGACTGCACAATTTGGCATGTTTCATTGCGTTATCACAAATAAAACAATTGAATTTAAGTTTAACTATGCAGTATGCTTACAAAATCTTTAACACATTTTTTGAATTAAAGGTGAAGATGTCAAATTTCCTAGGCCAGACATCACTTTTGGCCACTGCTATATGGCAGTTCATTGACTTTCCAACTGACCATCCAACCATGCAGCAAAAACAAGCCACTTTTGAGAGGATTGTGGGCTTTCCTGGAGTTCTTGGAGCTGTTGATGTTCACATTATTGATAAATGAGGAGACATACCAATAGAAAAGAATTTTAAAGCATCAGTACTAATTTGTTATAATTTTGCACAATGCAGAGCATTTTTTAAAGCTGCAGTCCGTAAGTTTTGCCTCTGTCACCATCTCTGTTTGAAACCTGCAATTGCAGTTATTTGCGGAATTCTCATCTTTACGTGGGTTGTGCACCGGCATGGCTCCTCAGCGTGGATGAATCTGATGTTTTGAGTTGATGTGTGGCTGTCAGTCACCGCACCGGTGTGGATATTCACTGTACTTCGAAATCACAGATTCTACGTCTTGGGAAGTATGACCCAAATAAGAATTTTCACCGGAAAATGTCATCTGAACAATTAATAAGTCTGCCACTTTTGTTCTGACCAACTGAGGAAAAAAAGCATTACATCACGCTGCCAAATGGCGATTAAATCTAATGATCACTTAACTCATATCACATCAAACCATGCAAATTATTGTTAT